AGCCATACTGTCTTCAGCACCTGCTAAAAACAGTATTGTTCCAGGAAGACTTTTCTTGCTGATCAGTCACAGTCTTAATGTTATTTTGCTTTTAAATGTTCTTAATGCATTGTTCCTATTATTATATCAGTTTTATTCATACTATCCATTGCTCCAGAATCTGTTCGGATGTACAGCAGTACAGATGTACTATAAATAAATAAATACTGTCTTACAAAACCCTAAAATGTAATTTAAACCATTTATCTAATTTTCTCTGTGGAGAATAAGTTTTGGTCCATGGAGAATTAAGTATTTGACATTCATTTTCAGCAATCTTTTTTATGAATTAAGACTAAAATCAAGTACGGATTGCTATATAAAGACTGCAAAGTCCAATGTAACATATGAATAAGTAAAATTATTTATGTAGCTTTTGTACCACATTATCTATGCCATTTTACATTAACATTTCTTCTACTAAATGTAATTCGCAATAAAGAAAAATTGGGACACAGTCCTACACAGAAGGCTCTAATATCAGAGGCTGCCATCTATCCTATGCCCTGCTAACAAGACCTAGGAAGGGCAAGAGGAGGATGGGAGTGTTTCACCTCCATTCATCTGTGTGTAAAATTCAAAAAGCAGTTCTACAGAGGTATAAGCACATCTATCTGATGTACTTTCGGTGGATGGAAAGATCCCATAAAATATTGCAAATAGCGGCCTCTCCTCCCTGCTCACCCTTTTCTCCCTCTCTTCTTACGAGGTCACACTTGTCATAAGGTCACAATTCTTTTACGGGGTAAGAAAAGCTTTCTGTAGTAAGTTGGGAGGGGATGGAAAAAGGAAACACCCCAATTTGATCTCTTCCATGCTTCTGGCTCTGTTTATGGGTGAAAGTAGAGGTGATTCCCAGCTCCTATGATATCTCAGTTGCTGTTTAAGGGCTGCAGCCCTGCTCTCTTACTGGCGGTATCAACACAGTAATTCATTTTGTAAAACCAGAAAGCTAAATAGCTGAGCATCTGGTCATCATCATTATTAAGTGAATATGAATGGACTGCCTATTAAGGACATTAGTTGCAAAATAGTACTATCAGCAATATCCACATACTGTCCCATGGGAAACTACAAAATAGAAAAACATTTTACTCTTGATTCTCTTGTCCAAATTCAGGGTTCTTGTGAATAGAGGAACACACTCTTCACAGATTACTTGAGCTCCAATTTCTATGGAAAGCAACAGTGGTTTAGAGGGATGCCAGTAATTACAACCCTCTGTCTACTTGAGAGACACTATTACAGACACTGGGGGAAGGGGAGGGACAATATGGAAGTAATCCATATGTGAGAACTCCCCACCAAGGAGTGTCTAGAATCTAGGCTCCAGATGTTACGATAAGGTAATTAGCAAGTAAATATAATGTAGTGGCCATCATTTTAAAAAGTCTTAGTGTGCTAGGTGGAAGACTTATCCACATGGGATATTCCTGTACTGCAGGAAGCAATGCCTGGTGTAAGTAGATGGAGGGATAACTTAATCACAAAGAGTGCTAGAAATATACTGTATAACAAAATACTAAAATAAAATATGCAAAATATGGCATTTGGGAATAATATAATTGTTCCTTGGGGAAAGGACGGAATTTCATTAATTTATCAATTTAAGAGGAAAAAATGTCAAATCATCCTTTATGCTGGAAAAACTGATAGAATAAATTCAGATAAGCTGCCCTCTTGATAAAACATCTATTTGCTGATTTGCATTATTTATCAAAAATAGTGATATACACTTGTGTGACTTGCTGGGTAGAACACTTGGTTCAGAGATGAAGGTCTTGAACCAACTAACCATCAGTCTCTGTGAAAGGGTTTACTTCTGAGAGGAGATGCCCCAGTCCTTCTCGGCCTTTCCTATATATCATTTCACTGGAAGGCTGATGCTTTCTCTCTGCCCAGTAAACTCAGCATATGCTCTAAGACCAAGATTCTGCTCAAGTAAGCAATGTGACTAGGTAAGTTAGACTGCTTTTTAAATTTGTATTAGGGAGTCTCTTTGTGTGAGATTGTTTCCATTTCTGTTTTTTGGGAACTTTTTTTTTGGGGGGGGCGGTTGGTGGAGGGGAGACGGTTGGTGGAGGGAAGGCTCCTGAGTCTCTTCTTTTTGAATAAACTCATTTTTATATTTGGGCATTTGGCTTTGTTGTTTTGAAAAGGGATTTCTCACTAACTCCCTGCATGAAAGATTTCATGGTTCCACAGCTATTGCTTGTGTTTAAGGTTTTTAAAAGGAGTTTGGGAAATTATCTGTTTCTAGGCTTTGGGAAGAAAAGTCCAAAGTGTATTTCTTTTTCTTTTCCCTAGGTCTGGGCTAAAGGGAGAGGACATTGGCGACAGGGCTTGGAAACTCTGCAAACCACTGAAGAGACTTAGCTGTATTAGAAGGTTTATCCCACGTAGCCATCAGAAATTCCTTTGCTGAAGAACCCTCATAACAAAGCAGACTTCTAAAGTTTTTTAATAGGAATAATTCAAGCAGTTGTGATGTATTGGGCTTAATTTCCTAGAATATGATTAGGACATGTGGCCATTGTAAAAACAAAGGATCATTATGCTGCCATTATGGCTGTATTATTATTATTATTACATTTTTATACTGCCCATAGCCAAAGCTCTCTAGGCAGTTGACAGCAACAATCATAGAATCATACACTCAGGTCACCCATCCCACTTCTGCCCAGGCCTGACCCTGCTTAGCTTCCAAGATTAGGCAGGATCAGGCACTTCAGGCTAAAGTAGCTTCATATTTTCCAAAGTTTCACCAATCTGGGCAATAGAACAATTGGAAAAGTATACTCCACTGGCAGGTTGTTTTTTACCTAAAAGGCAAGATTCCAGGGTTGAAAAAAAAACGAAATCAGAAATACAATATTGATGGCATCAAATGTAGAAACAGGTCTTTGCCCAGCTGTATCCTCTTTAGCGTAAATGACAGTGGCAGGGAAAGGAGATTTGGACCTCTGGATTAGGAGTAATATTATCTAATTTCTGGATTTTGTCTCTTAAAATCCCACCATTTCATTCACTGAGCTTACACAGTCTTAATAGTATCTAATTACCATCATTCAAAAATGTATAAATGTGAAGATATATTCAAAATATTGCAAGAGATGTCAAAATCAGCATCTTCTCAAAAGGAATAAGTAATCTAATCACCTGAGGAGAACAATAAAGCCTGTGATTCAGGATTTATAACATATAAAGGAAGCACATGGTAAGAGTAGCTATCAAAGAAAAATTGAAATACATTTAATCTCATTATTCAAAATACTCAATGATGATTTTTTCAAATAATAATAGGTATGAAAACCATGTATAAACTAGTGTATAAGTAATATTACATTCTGTTAAGATGGTCAAAAGTCTATCTGAACATCTCAGAACTGTATTAGCAATGTGAAAGACATTTGCTTACAAAGCCCTTACTTCCCTCCTATATTAAAGTTGATGAAATCAAGAACACCTGAAAGGAAACAGTGGTGCATTTGCATGTTGAAGGATTTGTGTACAAGCTCTCATTCTGGAACTACTGATGACAAGAGATGAATCTCAACTTTATTGACAAACTGAAAACTAGCATAAGACCAGGTCCAGACATCATCATCATCATCATCATCATCATCATCATTATTACAACATTTCTATGCCGCCTCAAAAAGTTGATAATAATATTATTATTATCAACCAAAAGTGCTTTTAAAAACTCACTGTGATATTACAGCTCTTTTAACACAAGCATGTTACATTTCCCTAAGGTCAGCCTCTACCTGTGCCAGTGTAACACCCATTTTTAAGGGGGGGGGGTCAGGGTAATTACAGGCCATTCCAGTTTAAGTAATTTGAAGGAAAGCATTGTTAAAGAAAATAATCGAGCGTATAGGAGGATGAGCTGTTAGGATCTGCAAAGCACTGCAGCGCACTCATGGCTAGATACAGCAGGCTGCCCCATTCCCCTTACAAGTATCAACCCTGTAGGTGCTTGCAGGAATTAGAAATGTTCCAATCATGGAAACCAGCTGAAAGCCTCAGGAGGTGCTGCTCAGCCCTACCTAGTTTTGGCCACAGCAACATGACTGCTTGTGACAGTTGCTTCATGTTCCTGATTCAAATTCTGGCTTCAACAGTTGATGTATAGGACATCACAGGACTGAAGAACTTGAGCAAGAAGATGCTAACACATTCTTCTATTTGTGGGCTTCCCATAGGCAGATAGTTGGCATGAACAGAATGCTGAACCAAATACTTGCAAATGGACCAAATGCACCAGTTACTTCTTTTGTCTGATGAAGAATTCAACACAACATAAGCATGAGCATCATTTAAACTGCTAGTTAAGTCTACAAAAGATTCTGCATCACTAAAGTGAAGTCCCTGTTTTCTCAGGTCCTACATGGCCACCGGCATTTTGAACAAGACATCAAATCAATGAACTGCCTTCTGCTCTTGAATTATTTGACATTTGCTCCCACAGATTAAGCCTCAAATATAACAGCTTATCATTCTAAATTTGATTGCTTACACAAGAGAGAAATTGTTGTTTTTCAATCCAAGTTTACATGAGGACTAAGATGCAAGTGTAATTAACGCCTCTCTTAAATAGCCTCAATTAAACACCTGCCTCTCAGTTACATACCATAGGGAAGGCAGATGCTTATCTAATTAACATAGCTCTTAGCTGGAGGAATATGGTATATGTGTGTGCCATGATAATTTGACTACTCATATGGTTGTTAGGTTCACAATCCTACATTGAGTCATTCTCTATTGATTTAGTTTAATAGTACACAAAATCAGCTGTATCAAGCCTACTCTGATACTGTTTCATAAGAAGTGCACACTATTTTCTTCAGTGGGGCTACACTTGCAGAAAATATGGCACTTTAGTGGCAATCCCAATTTTCAGAACAGGAGAGATAATTAAATGCAAAACAAGTCAAAATAATCTGGAAAAGGCTTACTGTATGAACAACTGGAATTCTATCTGTTCTTGAGACAAAAATAGACAATTGTTTTTTCTTTTTGCGTGGTTCTTCAGTAGTTTCTTTGACCTGAAATTTAAGTACATAAAAGTGTTGGTGGAAAGTGAGGCTTGCATCTAAACAATTTGAATAAATGAGTGCCATTTACTGAAAAACCACTAGACATTATTCCAAAGTCATTTGTATAAATACCATCTTAATTCTTAATTTCCCAAGCAACATCCAAGTATTTGGTTTTTGTTCAATTTTATCATAAACTGCTAACTTGGCACTACATAGGATAGTCCTATGGTCAGAACAACTCCTGTGTTCTAATGGCTAGAGCTAAGCAGAGCAGAAAGAGCATCTAAGACACTGCAGACCTTTCTGAGTCCGTCCAACTGAATCACTTACCTAAAAACAAGGACAGGAGAAGGAAAACCGCTGGATGTAACATTCCCCATGCTCTCTGTTCCCTCCACTCCTGCCCAATAGCACACCCTCTTTTAAACCTCCCCAGCCTGTCCAAAGGACACTCTTGCATGCTTGAAGAACAGTCCCCATGGTGCTTTCCATAGAGGTTGGGAGAGAGGACAACATCCCAATTTAGATTTAGACTTCCAAGGCCACAGACACAGCTACAGTCTTGTGAAGGAAAATCTTCCAGAAATTATTATTATATAATAAAAATATTAAAATATGAAGCTACTTTAACCTGAAGTGCCTGATCCTGCCTAATCTTGGAAGCTAAGCAGGGTCAGGCCTGGGCAGAAGTGGGATGGGTGACCTGAGTGTATGATTCTATGATTGTTGCTGTCAACTGCCTAGAGAGCTTTGGCTATGGGCAGTATAAAAATGTAATAATAATAATAATAATAATAATAATAATAACTGCATGGGATGTAATAGAGCGAACCAACTGTCCATTTCCTCTGCAGCAGACTGAAAGTTATTCCTGGTCTGAATTCTGTCTAGTTGAAAGGAGACACTGCAGCTGACTAATACTGAACTTCACCCAATCTATAATTCCTAAGGCAATACAAAAAGAGGCAACTATAATTAATGTACTCTTGCTTATTTATAAAAACTATTAAAATTGCAATATATGCTATTATTTGGGGGAATTTTATATAACTTAAATATAAATGTCATTTTTAAAAAAGCTTTTTTCAAACATATTTATGTGAAAAATAGCAGGTACTTTTAAGGCTTGACTAAACTAGCATTACTGTGCAGTAAGTTATTCATTTTGCTACAAATCAAGAACTTTTAATTTGGTACTGGTTATTTTTTTTAAAGGATGGCTAAGAAAGTTTGATTGCCTCCATGTTAATAACACATCCCACCCCCTTCTCCTTTCCACTATCATGAGACCTATCTCTAAATTTATCTAGAATAACTTCTAATGATAATATATGTTAGCTATTCAGCTTGATTAGGACCTAAGGGGAAAAATTATTTGCATTTGAGAAATGCTGAAGAAAATTGTCCCTACAACTAGCGTGTTTGGTAATATGTATTCAGTTCCTTCCCACATGATTATAATTCTGTTAAATTAAGCTGTCAGGGAATGTTAATGGGGCTCTTAGGTAGTCATACTTAATATGTTTGATAATATGGAACCTGAGAGAGAGACATCCTATGCTAATTAATTGACGCTACTTGAGAAAGAGGCTATTCTAATTTTTTTAGCTTTACTGTAGAGCTAAAGGTATGTTAGTTATTTTCTGATGACTAGATCCTTATTTCTCTGTATTAACAAATTAATCTATCCATGTAATTTTTTAAACTACATAAGCATATCTTCCTTGCTCAAAGAGAGTTTTCTCATTCAAAATGTATTATTCACATGTACCTTCCAAAGGAATAGGCAACTTAGTCACTTGTATAAGTTAAGAGAATCTTAAAAACCAAGAGATTTCATAGATGGTAACCATGAAAGTTTATGCCACATAAATCCATTAGTCTTCATTTATATATAAGCTAATTCCATTAATTGGTAAAGCTTGACTCCTGTGTAGTGCGCATTTCTCTCCTCTAGGAAGTGCTCAAGGACTATAAAGGCCAGTGCCAAGGCTATCGATCCTATGACTATTTTCTTTAAAATAAAGTTCACTCCAAAGCAAACATGCACAATAATGTAATGAAATTTATGGAGCAGAAAAAGAGTTGAGTGGAGAAGGAGAAAGAGAAGACTGAAAACAGCTGACTTGGAAAGTAACTAGATTACACTTAGGTTTTCACATGAAACAGCAGAGGGCAGAAGAACACTAAACTGACTTGTTTGGTTAGACTTGACTTCTACAAGACTCATCTGCTGACCTCAGAAAGGAAATGCCTACTTCCGCTGTTCATCTCATTCTTTGCAGGAGAGCATAAACAGAGCCACTGTTGAAACAGACCGAAGGTGTATCAAGTCCAATATCCTGTTTCCAGTAAGGGCCAGCCATGGTACCCCTGGGAAACCCATCAGCCAGGCATGAAGATGACAAACTTTTCCTATGGTTTGTACCAAAGATCTAATATTCAGAGGTACAGGGTCTTAGATAATGTTTCAATTTTGAAATCACAGTGAAAAGCAGTGCAAAGACATATCCTCCATAAGGAGACCTGATTAGTTCCTGTCGCCTTCATGTGCACCTGATGCTGGTTAGCAGGCTACAGCCCCGAACCATTTGCTGGATAAAGAACTGGCTGTTCTACTCACTTCATTTGGACACCTCTGGTTTATGGGTCACGATAACATTTACTATGTTGTTAAACACACCTGCTAGGGAGGATGCCCCACTAAATACATGTTTCTGAAAAAACTTGTGTATGATGCACTGGAAGTTTTTTGAGCCTCCTTATTAAACTTTGAAAAAAATCCAGTTTACCTGATAATCTGCTGGTCCAGGAGTAGTAAAGGCTTCCCTCTTAACTAAATATAACAGTCTAGGAACTGTAGAACCAAAAGCTCCTTTCTTTTTCTTTTCCAAGACAGCTTTTTTAAGACTTTGTGCTGCAATGCTGTAGTTGAGGATATTGTAAAATGCAGGATCTGCAGAATAAAGTGAAATTATTTAAGCATGCATTTAATACCTTTTTAAAATTTAAATTAACTGCAGTAATTATTAGTTGGGGGTAGTATATGAAAAGGCTCTGGGTGTATATTTATTATGGTTGTTATGCTGATCCCATAAATGCCTCCTTAAAACAAACCCATATAGAATTCAACACTCTCAGGTAAGAGTATATAGCACCATGCTTCTCCCCAACCAACAGCACTGTGGTCTTCAAGAAAGATTCAAACTGAGACATGGAGGAAGGTTGATGTAGGACCCGCTCAGGCTGTAAAATGTACAGAGGGTGGGAGCTCAGCTCTGCTTGGTCTCCCAATGTTAAACCAAGCAAGAAAGTTTGACACTGCTTGCCCACTGAAAGTTTTGATCTTGTGAGAAGCACCTGAATTTTTATGGGTAAAGAGCAGATCAGAGACTCAGCTGAGGAAGTAAGGAGCTCAGGCCTGTCTTCTTAGTGATGGAGAAGACTAACGGGAATAGAGTGGTACCCAATTAGGCATGATTCATGATTGTGGACAAAGTTCTCTAGCCTAGATAGTTAGAATGACAATAGAAGTCTAGACGCCCTGATTCTGTTTATAAGCTGCTGCACATGCTACAGAGCCTAGTGGGCAGACTATTTTATTTTTGCTGGGACTATACCAAAGTCCAAGTTTGTTGAGACTCCTATATGCAGAGTTAAACGTTTAACCTGCTGGTAAGCCTAGAATCCCAAACCTTTGGAAATCTGTCATGGGATTTTATAACCGGGTTTTTGTTTTGGGGGTTTTTTTGGAGGGGGGTGCTCCTCCTTGGATGCTTCCCCTAGAACTTATTGATGGATTTTATGACCCTGAATCTTCCATGTGGATTAGCTGATTTACTGAGACTAAAAGAAATGTAAATTTTCTGGGTTTTGTTTTCTAAAGGATTATTTGTGTTGCTGTTTTACTGCAATAAAGTTTGCTGCTTATTTGGATGGATGTCAGGAAGTACGGGCCCCTAGAATATGGAATGGGCTTCCAAGGCAGGTGGTTGAGATCCCATCCATGAGGGTGTTCAAGGAAAGACTGGACAACCACATGTTGGAGATTACATGAGTGGAGCCGGCTAGAGCAGGGGGGCAGACTAGATGGTCTGGGAGACCCCTTCTGACTCGCTTTCCCCCCTATGTTTATATGATTTCTATGTTTCTGTTTACCACGCCCTAAACTGCTGGTGTTTCAAGAGAGCTGGTCCTAATATAGGATTGCAGCCTATATTACATTAAATTCCACTAGATTTAAGCACCCTAGCTGTGAGGAGGATTGGAGTCTTAAGCTATAGTCATGGTCTCTTTGAGGTTTATCATGCTGCTTTCTCTGACATTAATAGAGCAAGACTCTTCTTTTGTATACTATATGGTATTTCAGTTTTCAGATACTAAATTCATTCCTTTCAAATCAGTCAAATGTGATCATAACACATTTATTGTTACTTTAGTAGATATATCAATGAATAAAACATTTTAGGATGCAACCTAAGATATACTAGTCTTTTGGCCCTTCCTCTTTTGCCTTAGGCCTTGCTCACCATTGGAATACAGCCCCCAACTGCTTCTTCAAAATGAAATTCAGCTCTCTAACTGAAAAAAAGGTTCCCCGTATCTACTTTATTGTTGGTTCTGCTTAGAATAAAGGCATTTGCTGAAGCGGGTCTGGATGAGAGGCCACCCGGAAGTCTGTTGTACAGTACACTGACTTCTACTGGGAAAAGGCAGAACATAAAGTAATTAAATAAACAAAGAAACTAGTACAACCAGTTTATAATACATTAATATGGAAACAAATAGGAAGTGTTACCAGGAGGCAAGAAGTTCTCTGCTTAACAGACTGAGGACAAAATAAAACGTGCTCAGCAAAAAAGAGGCTTAAACTGAAGATAAATGGTAGACCTCACTCTTTACAGATTAGAGGACAAAAGCAAAGACTTTTACTTGGGGACAGAGAACAAGAGGAGGTGAAATAGAAAAACAAACATCACACGTATGTTTTCAAGAAAAAGAAAGAAGAAGAAAATTCATCATAAGTATGTTTTCAAGAAAAAGAAAGAAGAAAATTCATCATAAGTATGTTTTCAAGTTAGGTAATTCAAAATCACACAGAGGGTGGTTCTGTCTTTTACTGATACATTTCCAATTATTTACATTTGCTACAAAGAAAGCAACTTAAATGAGTCAGAGAAAATTGGAAATAGGAAAAACGCTCATTCATAGCAGATCCCCACCCTCAAATATCTGCAACTATCCTATCCAGTAGTTCATTATTTATACAAGGCTCACTTACAGACCTTTAAAAAAAGACAGCACTCCTGGGAATGCCATTAATAGGTACTATTTGTCTTAGGAAGTGACTGTCATATTATAGTGCTGATGACCTCTAGAATCTTAGGATAACTAGCATGATCTGCAACACAAAGATAAATAGCTTTTTCTGACTGTCAACAAGGGTGACCTTGTCAAATGTGAAGGAATATGTGGAGACATTACTGGCAACTGCAGTAAATATGTACAATAAAACTTCACTTCTTTGAATCATCTAGAAAATATCCACACTTGGGTAATAACAAATTATTTATTTCTAAATTTTAGAGCTGCAATCCTATATACATTTATTTTGAAGTAATTCCATGGGACTTATTTCCAACTGAACAGCTACAGGACTAGTCTGTTAGTTTATTTTCCATGGTTTGCTCAAGACAATATACAATAATACGAAGCCACACTGAAATGCAAATATTCCATCTTCAGATCAACATTAAAACCATGAAACTATCAAAACTAGATGCTGTTAAATCAGGAATATGTGGGTTGGACCTTTTTTATACTCAACATTGCTACTTTTTGCCAGGGGCGGAAGTGGGTTACCTATTTATATTCAGCTATATTAACAAGTAGGACACAGTAAATGCATATAGAAAGAGTTGTTATTATTATTATTAATTTTATATATCAATTTTATTTCTACACTGCCCAATAGCTGAAGCTGACCTTTTCAAAAACTAAACATGTTGTTAAGTGCAGGCCATTGCCCAGAATTGCAGAGGCTGTGCTACAAAGTTTAGTTTTATTTGGTAGAGACATGGAGAATTAGAGAGCAATCTTATGGCCAACAGGCAGATCTGGAGGGCTACAGAATCAAAGCTTCAACCTTGAAACTGGGGATCTGCATTAGGATTCCCTCTTCCCTTCTCACTCAGTCAGCATAAAAAGAACTGCATTGCCTGTGTTTCTGAGGTTATTTGACTGACCTCAGAGAAGAAGTAAGAGGGTGTTCCAGGGGTGTGGTGACTGTGAATAGGATAGTATGTGGCACTCAAGCCTCCTTCTCTCTGTCCAAAGCACCGTAGGTAGACAGGCAAAATCAGCTGTCTAGATTATTTACAGGGAAGAAGTACAAAATAAATAGTCACCTCCATGGTCCTCCTGTCCTACAGCGAATGCCCATAATCCTCCAGCTTACCAGCAGCCCCATCAGATCATGCCCATAAGCTTATGACATCTTCTTTGTGCAGTGGCCTCTTCTTAGATAGCCAAATGCCTCCAGATCCTTTGAACAGTTGAAGATTACTTTGTAATAAAAGTCAATCCATATTTGAAGATGCCAAAGAGGCTTATGCCCAAAGAGACTTATGACCACTTAAGCACAGTAGAATATACAATAGAAGCAAATAGATTCCTATACCAGGTACTCAATTACTAATCTGGCTTTAAGTTTCAAGTGAGCAAATGTCACACCAAGATTGGTTCAGTTTTTACCAATTCCACTAAAAATGAAGATTTAACTTCCATGTATGTTCTACTATGAATAATTCCTGCTTATCTGTCCCACCAAACTCTGAAGGGTGTGGAGGCTAGAGAGAAAATGGAGGCCATTATGTACAATCAAAGTCTTTTCTTCAGATCCTGATCACTTAACAAGATTACTCAGACCCATCCACAAATACCAAGACATCCAAATTTATTACAGTTTTTGTCTTAAACAGGGACACATTTTCACAATGTATGTACTTTGAGTAATACGCTTCCAAAAAGAACCAGAAAGTCTGAAATGGAGGAGGAAAGGTGAGGAGGAGGGAATGTAGTGCTTTTATCAATCATATAACAATTACATTTTAGCAAATAGTGCCAAAAGGCTAATTCAGACAACACTGATATTAGATGTAAACCTATGACTACCAAATCCATCAAAATATCACCTATAATCTGACAATATTGTAAAATAGATAGAAGCAACAACATCTTAAGAACAGGGCAGGATATGCAACCACTGTAACATGAAATGACTTTGCAGTTGCCTCTCCTTGGATAACCACATGCATCCTGATCTTTGGAACAGCTGAAGGTTACTTTGTAATAACAGTCAATCCATATTTGAAACTTACAATTTCTGAATACCTACAGAAAATGACCCAGTATTAACGTATCTTAAACCACTCCAATGGACTGCACATCAAAGACTGATGGATGCACAACTCAGATTCAGTTCTATCATTCAATCTCACTTCAATATGCATAGTAATCGCTATGCAGACTGTATTGTTGAATACAGTTCCAGATCAATTGCTACTCCACAGACTATTTATCTTGCTTTATATTGGATCACATGAACTTAACACCAGAGACAGCATTCTTTCTAATAGCAAACTAGATGCTTGATTGCCTATCAGTTTGAAAGTGAAATGGGATCACCCCCTGCGAAAAAGGTTATTCCCTAGATATACATGTATGAGCACATGCAAATTAAAAAGGGAAAATGAAAAGCACAGGTCACCTGACAAGAACCTGTGAGCTTCCATTATGTACATTACTAAAAGAACAGAACTGAATACTAACAATCTCTAAACCGGATTATTGTAATACTTGTTATATGGGGATGCCCTTAAAGATGGTTCAGAAGGTGCAGCTGGTGCAGAATGTGGTAGCCAGATTAATAACTGGGCCAGAACACATAAGACCCACTTGCACTGGATGCCTGGATGCTTCTGGTTCCAATTCAAGTGCTAGTTTTAGCTATAAAGCCATGCACGGCTTAGAACTACAATACCGATCAGAACTGTGAGCTTAAGTAGACTCCGGGGGGTGGTGGAGTACAGGATGGCCTGGAGGAATGTTGTCCATGGGGTTGTGATGGGTCGGGTGTGACTTCGCAACTAACAACAACAAATCGGAAAACCTCTCCTAACCACAATCTATTCAGACACTACTCTCAGCCTCTGAGGCCTTCCTCCAACTGCCAACTCTAAGGGATGGTGGCAACAAGGGTTAGGCTTTCTCAGTCGTGGCCTCCATGTATAGAATAACCTCCCCACTGCAGACCAGCTGGTGCTGAATTTGTCATATTTTGGACTCCAGGTTAAGTTGGCTCTGTTTTCTGAGGCTTTTAAAGACTTACTTAGCCACCCAGGAGCTTGAGGGGGATCACTAGGTGTTTCGCACAGTCACTCTTTTGTTCTTCCTTGTTATTATTTGGTCTTATCATCTGATTTTAGCTGTTTCAAACTTGTTAATTTTTTCTGATGTTATGATATTTTTATTGTACTGTTTTGGAATGTATAAACTGCCCAGAGAGTTTCAACTGTGGGATGGTATTGAAATGAAATGAAATGAAATGAAATGAAATGAAATGAAATGAAATATATAAAACAGGTGAAGGGATGAAACAGAAACAGAGTGGTGGGGGAAAACAGATAACTGTCCTGTTTAAGCCCCTAACAGCTTAATTCCCCTGGAGGATGAATTTGGACATGTGTGCCAGGAGCTAAAAATGCTCCCAACCCTGCTCTTTAAGGGATGGTCCAGGAAGGGAGGAAGGAAAGAAGGCTGCCTTTTCCCTCACCTATATGGTCATAAAATGCTTGGTTCTGGAGTCTGCCATTTTCCTTTCTACTATCCTGAAATTCAACTGACACATATAACAGAGAACTGAAGCGTCTTGAAACCTTCTGCTGCATTCCTTCACAGCAGCAGTCCTCTTAGGGCACAAAGTTCATTTGCAAGTTCAGAAAGAAAAAAAGGCCATTATATCTCAGCCACTATAGCTTTGTAAGTAGACTTTACTTCTGTCTAATCTTGCATAGGATTGCACGCACAGGGAGTGGAAATACACTATCGCATGCCTCAATTGTTTATATTGATTCCAAACCTGGTGTTTTGTGCATCCTGTAGTCCTGCCTGAATCGAACAGAAGTATGGCCAAAAGGGACATGCCTTGTCTTAGACGCTTTCTTCAAGGACTCTAGAGCAGAGCGTGTTTCATTATATGTGCCAGGAGCTGGAGTGAATGATTTCACAGGTGCAAACCTCTAAGGAAATACCACAGAACATAAATCAATGACAGGCCAAAATAGCTATGTAGGCAAAAATGGACCCATCCTGGTAAAAATGTTTGTATTCTTTTATCAATGAACACATGAATAATAATAAAAATATAAAATAGTACCAACATATTTTATTGCATTATGCTGAATAAAATCATTGGTCCATCTAGTTCTTTCTACTTAGTCAATGGCTCTTCAAAGTTCCAGCTACAGGCCTTTCCTACCCCTGTTACTGAGGGTCTTCTAACTGGAAATGACAGAGATTGAATATTTCTACATGTATATGGACTCCACCATGGAAATCTGGCTATCCTCAGAAGTTAAAGTATTGCCACATATTAAAAACAATTTAAAAGATATTAACAGTTTAATTGATAGGATCATCCCCTTTTCCACTTGGTTATGCAGCATTCACTCAAGAGCTTAATAAAGCAAGCAATGCTTTGATTGCATCATACTTTCAATTTAGAATTTGTGCTACTGAATTTTAAATAAGTGTGTTTGTTTGTTATGTATTGCCATTTCCCACACAATTCCTAATTTGTTTCTCTAAGTGTGCTTTAAACTGGAAGCTTCTTGGAGTAGGAAGCTGTCAAACCTGCTCTTGGTGAAGCAGCATGTCAATAGACGGCACTAAATAAGTAAATATTTGCTATACTTTTGCACAGTGTCACCAGATGAATGATCAGGAGTATAGCAAGAGGTTGGTTTTTCTTTGTGGTCAAGAATCTCTAGTCCCTGGAATTTTACATCTCGTGGAGAATAAGGAAATTAATGACAACTAGATTTGATGCCTATGCTATCTTCAGTATCAGATGCAGTAGACCTGTGTAGAGCAGTTGCCAGGAAACATGACTAGAAGGGTGCTATTCTACTTATGTCCTACTTACGTATTGGTTTCCAACAGGCTTTTATCACTGCCCATGGAACTTCTCAGTTCTCAGGCAGTGAAAAATGAAAAATGCAATTCTATGAAAAATGCAAAAGAAGGGCCAATATTAGGTCTTACCTGGGCAAGAGAAAGAAAGGGAGCATGATGAGCTTCACTTTGTGCTGCATTATCTATCTTCTCAAACTGACTTTTTATATCGTACTGGCCAGGACCTGGAACACCCTTGAAAACAATAAAAATGACTTGATCACAGAATATACCATAAACACTTGGAACTGCAGACCATTTTAACTCTGGGAGGAATCATACGTAGAATAGTAGAGTTGGAAAGGACCGTGAAGGCCAACCCCCTGCTGTTGCAGGATACCAAGTTACATCATCCCACTCAGATGGCTGTCAAGTTTCTTTTTGAAGATACATTTATTTTTAAATGTATCCTTTAATGTGAAACACAACAGAGAAGTCAGATAGGAACAACTACAAAACAGTAACACGAAGAAAACTAAGCTTTCAAGGCACCTTCTACTGTTGACTGCATTGACAGAAACCTGCTTTTAACCAAGGGAAAGTTGCAAAAAGAATGCAAAATACTGAAATGTGTATTTGTAATATATATATATAAGGTGTGTGGTGTGAGAGCCAGTGTGGTGTAGTGGTTAAGAGCATGGGACTGGGACTCAGACGATCTGGGTTCTAGTCCCAGCTCAGCCATGGAACCAACTGGGTGACTTTGGGCCAGTCACAGACTCTCAGCCCAACCTACCTCGCAGGGTTGTTGTTGTTAGGATAAGATGGAGGAGGAGAATGATGTAAGCTGCCTTGAGCCCTTTGTAGGAAAAAGGCAGGATATAAATCGAAATATATATATATGAATTGTGTTTGTGTAAAGAATGACAACAACAAAAAAGAGGAAGAAGAAAAAGAAATATGAGTACGTACAAGTCATTTGAAGCACAATCCTAATGCTTCTGTTTTTGGTGCTCATTAGCTGCCTCAGTTGGACACGTCTATACAGAGCAGGGGAAGCAGCCTGCAAGGCAGATGGAAGGTCCATTTTGGCTGTCTACTTCTGGTGCCTCACTCTTGGAGTGTCTCCAGGAAACCTTTTATCCTGGCCACACTGGTCTCCTGTCATTCCCACCTCCCTGAAAGCCCACTTTACCCCTTCTCTGAGGAAGATTTTCAAACCTCAGAGAAGCTATCCATGTGGTTATTTATGTGCTGGTTGCAAGAGTGAAAAGGGATCTGAACACATATCCCTAGCTCAAAGCTCAGAGAACTGTTTCCCACCTTGGATCTGGGAATCAGAAGACTCCTATAGCCTCCTCTAAAAACTGTCTAGGGACCACAGACTTGCTATGTTCAGCAGTTGTATGAATCAGAGTCATAGTCATATTTAGAAGAGGTCTGGAATGCTTCTCTTGAATGCTGAAATTCTCAAAGACTGACCCCCTGCCAAATAACATAGTAGAAAAGTACAAGACAATTACAAATAGCTTGAAGTGTCAACCAAGCCCTCCTCAAGAGCACCTCACATGACTCTCAAACAGAGAACAATCAACTCAAATTAAATCCTACACTATCTTTTCAATTTAGGCTATCACATAATAGAGAAGAGTGGCTCACACTACCATGGTAGTTCACTGCCTACAGTGTTTCCTCACTAGAACAACTGAGTATACACACAGGCTGGGATGATTTTTGCATTCAGAATCTAGCATGTTGGTATTGGCATCGTTGGCATTTTTGTTGAGGAGGTTAGTTATCTGTCTAGGCTGCTGAAAGTTTTGAAAGTCACTCGGTTTTGTTTCATTTTAAGTTGCAAACAGGGAGGATTAGTACTTAACTTGGAGAGGCAAGCAGTAAAAAATGCCGGATTACGTCTTACAGCCACCCAATGGTTCTGGTATAACAAAGGAAATCCGAATGCAAATATGGCGTGCCATGCCACAGGGTCTATCTCCTTCTGCCTAACACTTAGGGAATGATCTGCAGTGCCAAGTTAATTGAATTACTGAAGCAACTAAAACAATCCCACTCGGTCGGAGCTCTGTCAAAGGAACACGAGAGGTCTGATGGTCTGGAGGGCACAAGTGGTAGTCTGAAGACAACAGGGCAGTGAGAACCCCATGAAGATTTGGACCACAGTCCTAGGCTTCCACAAGAGAAGCAGGCATTCAAAAGTTATCATCATCCCTTTTTCAAACTCTGCCAAAAGTAAATAAATAAAAAAGTAAAGACTTGAACGGTCATGAAAATGTACAGTATATCATTAAATATACTTTCTCTTGTTCAATGAAGTGCCATAAAACAAATTTATAGTCACTTTAAATTAAATGTTTATTAACCTAAAGTGTATTCCGTATGGCTCTTATCTCACTGAGCTTTTTCCTAAATGGCTAGAATACCACTGCTTCAATATGGGAAAATAGGGCTCTCATAGCAGAAGGTTGCACAGAATTCATGAGGGAGCCACAGATGTGGAAAGTACATTCAGCGACCAATTTCCAGTGCTTGATTGGCTACTGCTTAATGCAGGTCTTCCATCTCAAAACATAGAAAAGATTTTGTATTGGCACTACTAATTTACATAATTACAACATAAATTTTAGTTAACTCAGGGCTCAAATACAATCTCTATTTCAATACAGGAAATAAGCTCACACTGTGCCGTCAAAACTTTACTAATTACATTTTAAAATAACTTAAATCAGCTAAACATAGTAAAGTGTATAGTATGCAGCTAGAGATTTTAAACATATCTGGGAAATCAGTAAGAAATCTTTAAGGGGCAGAATGGCTCAGATGCCATATTTATGAATTATTTATGAAATAAAACTCAAGTAATTCAAAGGCCAGCCTGTAAGTCAGTGTAAAAGTGTATCAATTGCCTTAGTTTATGCTGGCAAAAAAGATAATGATCAAGTTTGCATGACATGACAACCCACCCTCTAAATAAGCTATACAGTGTGGGTTTTTCATAGAACCCATGATATCTGAGATGGCTCAATTCCATAACGGAAGCCTGGAGTTCACAATAGCTGTGCAGGGGTAACAAGGACAGGAGAATTTGAAGAGTATTCTTTCATAGGGTTGCCTTAAGTCAGAGACAATTTGGCAATGTGTAACAACAGTCACACCGAAGTGCTGCTGGGGCACTGGTGAAGAAGCTGTACTTGGCAGTGGCTCAGGCATGTTTAAGAGTGGCACTAGGTCCTTGCCACAAAGGCTGAGGAGCCTGCTAGCTAGACCAAGTAGCCCATAATGAAATTGTTCTGCCAGATTCAGACAGTGCTACCCTTCTTCATGAATTGAACAATATCTAGAACAAGCTGTGGGTTGTCTGGTTTGTTTGCTCTAAAACAAACCAGAAACCCACAAGCCATCAGGAAAAAGTCTGGGTTTGGATGATGTGGCAAACCACTGTAGTTACACATAATGGGATGCTGTACTGTATGAACAGAATCACTGGAATGCTGACATACCAGCATGGCATTCTGGTTTCTTAATGTTTTCTTAAATGTTTTAAATGAATAGTACCTTTCTAAACTGAAAAAGAATGATATTAATGCTCATTTACCAAATGTTTGCCAGCTTTTTGTATGTACTGAGTTGTAGGTTTAGATCTGTCTTGGTGTCTCAGTGGCCATTTTGCATGGGAATTTTTGAACAGTAAGAATGCAGGTACCAATACTAAAGCAACTGCAGGGTATACTAAAGAAGTTATGAATATTCATAAAGAAATTAGCATCAAAGTAAGATTAATTCTCAGACCTCACCTACTAAAAATCCCATCAGGAAATAAATATTTTATATTTCTTAAGAAGTCTCTCTCAGTATGCACTAATGAAACATGATTACTATTAACCTTTCACAGTTGTGCCATCTTTTTTCCTCCCATTTAAATCCATCTCAAAATTTACTGATAATATACCCTTTACACTGCACTATCACTACTATTTATCATCTTTTAAAAAGCATGTAACTGCTTGAAAAATGGCAAGCAGAACACTATCCAAGGCAATACGGCATTAAACATATATTTAAAAGTTGCTTCAAGAACTCCTATTTAAACCCCAACAGGCAGCTCTTTCAAAAATTAGGAGATAGGTACAAGAAAATTAAAAGGATATAATTAATGTAGAGTGAATTCCCTTCAGAAACTTAAAAGGATGACAGTGGCACAAATAAAATTTATGCAAGGAATTGTGGTGTTGGGGGAGAGGCACCATTGAAAAGGATGCCAGCTCTTTGTTACAGAAATATGGTAATGCAGCTAATTTGCTTATAACTCAGTGAAGTTCCTGTAAGGGGGAAAAAGATACTTTTGGAGTGGGGGACCAAATCATCCCCTAGTGATTCCCATTTCTTGAAAGACACAAGGTGTGCTACTACAGGATAGCCACAAAACTTCATCTTTGGGGAACAAATCTATCTGGCCTGGGGTTGCTTCCTCAGATAACTGCATCCCCTTTCTCTGAAGCATCAATCATTTTATTGTTTTGTGGCTTTTGTAAAATTTTGTCTCCCATTCTAATGGGTTGATAGCCTCTCCTAAAACTTAGTAAGAGCTTTAAGTTGAAATATGCTAGAATTTTTACCATCACCTGTTTTGTCTCTGGAGCTGTCCACCACTGGAATGAGGCCCCCCAACAGTTTTTACAAAATGAAATTGGCCCCTTGGGCTGCAACAGGTTGAACACATAAGCTTTACAGCCTTGTCCTTCTATTTGTCCTTCAACTCAGTGGAAGCCACTGAGAACCAAGCCTGCCTACTCATCTGCATAGCCATGGTATTGCTTCGTCATAGTCATGTGTGACAAAAGAGACAGTAACTATGTTTTGCTGAGAACCAGAGGTTATGTGCCTAATTACCAGCCAAGGGAGAAGAAGCATGGCTATAGTAACTTGCTACACTGGCATATCACCTATAAAACCCTTCTCAAAACAGCCTTCCCATAAAATAAGATGTCCACCAGGATTTTAAAAGCTACATTTCTTGAGGATCCTGATGATTTACACTGGAATAGTTTCAGAATGTCTGAGAAGGCAATAGAAGTGCTGTTCAGCTGATGACAAACTTATGCTCCTCTTAAAGAAGAATTCTTCCCTCCAAGTCAGTTGTCTTAATAGTAAGGATAACTAATTTATAAGTCACCCAAAAATGAAGTGGAAAGAAACATGGCTCTCATGTTTTCAAACATACTAAGGGAAGTCAACTT